TAAAAAGCATGGTTTGACCTCTGGTGCATCCCAGAGTCTTCACTGACTTAACAAGGCCTCAAGAAGTGACTGCTGTTATCAGACAGACACTCTACTGGCACACATCAACAACCAGATGTCAACAACATCAACAACAATGCCCTGATGCTTCCAGCTTGTTAAGACATTCATAATCCTAGAGCACAGCTCAGGCCAGAAAATTCAGCAGGGCACTGCAGGGTTCAGCTCTGTTTGCTGTGAGTTTTGGGGATGCTGTCACAGACTTGTCAGGGGCATTTCCAAGTCACAATTAACTCCTTTTAAAACCTCAGAGTTAACACCTCAGAGTTTTATAGCAAGTGAAGCAAAAGTAAATCACTCTGGTGTTAAACCAAAGACCAAAGAACAGAAGCAGAAAATCTCCTAAACCCCTGGTGACCACCACAAGGCTCATCCTGCATAGGGAACTCTGATTCCAAGGGAATTATTCCCAAAGGGTAATGAGTCCCAAGGCATGGGCAGTGGCTGCAGACTGAGTGAAGTTCCCATGCTATCACCAGGAGCCTGGGCTGCTCCCAGATCCCCAGGTCATTGTGAGAGGAAGCTGATGTTTGTGTGTCAGAGCAACACAGGGTCACTCACACAGAGGAGAGCTGGGCTTCCACACTAACTCGGCCACTGGCCTCTTGTTTGGCTGCTCTCCCTCCCCATTTCCTGGCAAGTCTGACCTCCTTAAAACTTTGCTGAGATTTACTCCTGAGAAGTTCTGCAGAAGCACCAGTGGTTGCAATGAGCCCATCATTTTAATTTATCCACATGAAATAGGCAAGTACTTGAGTCCCTGTGGGAATTTTCATAAAGCACACTGTGATTTAACAGTAGCCTAATTACCAGATTCCTCAGCTGCTTAAGGAGCCATGAGAAGAGGATGCATCCTTCCTCAGACCAGCTGATACAGTTAGAAAATTCAGGCAAGCTTTCAAGTACATGATCCTGCTATGTTTGTAGACTCACGCAACTCAACATAATTAAGTGCAGTCTTTTCACCCAGAGAGTCCTGGGCATATCTTCTTCATGCATAAATGGAGAGCTGGAAAAGATCAGCAATGTGGTACTCGGTGTCCATAAGCCAGTTCTCAGCTCTCCAATGTTTTTCTATTTCTTCAGAGAACACTTCCCTTAACCTGCATCTAATCTCTGACTAAGCTCAGCACACAAGTGGTATTTAACAAACAGCTTCCATTAAGAGTCCCAGTCCACTTAATTTCTGGCTGTTCCTTTGTAAATAACCCAGAGTGATCGCTGCACAAGAAATCTGCACAAGAAATGCTTTCAGTCACATGAGCCTGTGAGATCTCAAGTGCCATCAGAAGCAATGTTTGTTTTGACTGCAAGACGAAACAAGTATGTAGGGAAAGAAAAAAAAAAGTAAACAACGGAAGTTGGGTTAGAAAGAACAAGGGTAAGTATTTGAGAAATGCTATCAGAAATCTCATTTCTCTCTCTTGTTAGAGTAGAATAATCAAGGAATGTGCCAGGGTGTCCTATGCTCTTACTAGGCTGTCATTTTTTAAGCTGAATGTACCTGCAAATTACTGGTTTCAAGTAGAACCTAGAAGTCCCAGGTGAGATGACAGATGAGACTGGATATTGGTGCTGCAATTGCTGATTGAAAAAGCTGATGTCTTTACACTGACAGGATGACGAAGAGACAAAGAGAACAGTTGCAGCATGACATGTGAGTGACCCCAGGTAACCCAGAGCAGCAGCAACACAGCTGGGAGCAGATGTTTTGTGTCTTTGCCAAACCTTTCATTCTGCTTCCTTTTCAAATCTATCACTACTCCTTCTTTCCCAGTGAGTCATCAACTGAAGGAGATTAGACAAACCCTTTAGCCTCTGAAAAAAGCCCTGGTAATCAGGTCCCACCTTGAAGCAACAGCTCATTTTCTGCACTGAATATCTAAGCACGTAATGCCAACACTTGCTGCAGGCTGTGCTTCAGCCTTCCCGGCAAAGCCTGTAGTCCCTATGACCCTCGATGACAAACTCTAGTTTGCATGAAAGTCCAGTGGGAGCAAAGTTTTCATCACACCAAATACACAATTTGATGCCATCACTGTATTGAAACCTGCACAGATCATTAATCAGGCCCAGAATAGTGTAATCTATGCTCTGAACACACTGAATGTTTATTTGAACCATGCAATTCCTTCAGCAGCAATATTTTTTGCTAACAAATCAGATGATGGTGAATTTCCCCTGAAGTGGCAGGACAAAGAACAAGCTCTACCCTTCTTAGGATCCAGTTTGGAGCAGAATTTCAATGGTTTACAAAAATTCTCTGAGGAGATGCAGTGCCCTTAATGATTAAGTATACAGCAGAATTTGCTTATCCTCAAAGGACAGGCCAGACTTGCAGATCCATAGCACTGACAGCCTTTCCAGACCTTTCCTAGATAATGCCAGCTAAGAGGACAGCACTAGAGGAGCTCTTCATGGTAAATCAGCAAAGGCCCTCCCACCACTTACACTTTTCCTGGTCTTGGCTCTGCTCCAGGCCTGCCTCATTAACCACCAGCAGGTGACTTCAGCTTGTTAAGTGTCATCTTTCTGTGAGCACAGGATAATTACACAAACCACTTCCCACTTCCTGGGACTACTTGCACCACTGCTACCCATGTTATGCACAAGGCCACTGATTCCATGAAGCAACCAGCCAAGGGCTGACAGAACCAGACAGGATCTGTACTGCTGTCTTCTGACACAAAGTGGTAACCAAGACAGAAAACACAGCATGAAACTGTCACCTCAACAGCCTTGGCAATCTACCCCTCAAAAACAATCCACTTACAGGCTGTGGGGTTGGTTTGAGTGCTGGTGCAACAGCTCCAGCCAGGTTCACTGAAGTTCACAGCAGCAGTGAAACTCCAGACCCGTTCTTTGGCTCCCCTCCACCTAAGAATGAGCACTAACACTGGGATCTGTAATTCAGTGTGGTCTGTCATAACCGACTGCAGGCTATTTTCACAAACACATTGATCAATATGAGCAACAGTGAACACTGCACTGGATGAGGAGTCACAGACTTGGAAGGCTACAGACACACAGCTTTAACGAGGTTTATAGGGCAACTTCTGGCTGCCACAGCCCCAGCAGCATCCTGCTTGTTCAAGCTGCCTCTCCTGCGCTCAATCCTCACACCAAACAGTAACCCAGTCCCCCTGGTAACCCCATTGCTCTCTCTACTTCTATGAACTCCACACCAGGACATCAATCCAAGTCCCACCCCTATCACTGTAAGTCAAATAGTTTCAAGACCTCTCCTTATCTGCACAGGTCACAGTGACCTCACTGGCAAACCAAGAGCAGAATTTAGTACAACCTTCCTGCCATAACCTCTGCCACTGTTGGCATATGCACATTTATTGGCCAAAGACTGACTTTGCTGCACGCTTTGAAGGCCTCACACAACAAAGCTTCACAAAGACAAATAAATAATCATTTTTACCATTTAACTTCACAGCCTTTTTCTTCACAGCCTTGCCTACCTCTTCCCTTGCCTACCTCTTCACAAATATTTTCTCATTTACTGTGGGAAAAATGTTGCTACCCAGTATGCCAAGACCTACTGAAATACAAACTTCCACCTCTGTGGAAACACAGTGTGCTTCCCTTACCCCATAGCTTTGGTGTCTCAAGGCTCCTCATCCTCATTTTTCCCAGCCTAACTTCCACCTCCAGAGGTAAATGGTTTTCTCCAGTCTGTAGGAACGACCTTCCTGAGCACCAGACTTCCTCCTTTGGTTTTCACCCACTTTGTGCCCATTACTGCCTTACATTAGCCCTTCCACCACCTCTGCAAGCCCCAGTGCAGAGCACTGCCACCAGCCCTGTGCTCCTGGAGATTTGGCTGCCAAATGACTCCTCTGGCACTCCTGCACTCTGCCACGGACAAACCTTCACACTCAAAGCTGGAGTTCCAGATCCCACGGGCCACCTTCACAGTGCACATTTCCCTTGGCATATCCATCTCCTAAGTGTGGTTCTAGTATTTCTACAGATACACAGGGGAGGGAAAACTGCCTTTGGAAGGTATTTAAGTGCATGTTGCACATCCAGGGACATCGCATGACAACACAAAGCCCTGCATGATGAGGTTGATAATTAATGCAAGTCTAAAGCAGGTAAATTTAGTGTGGTCCAGTCAGTGTGCTCAATGCAGCTGCTCCAGCAAGCTATCCTGGGAATCAATCATCATCTCCATCCTGTCCGTTATTCTCCAAGGCCCATACACAGCACTGGATTGGTGGGGGAGGTTTCATTTCCTATATAGATCCAGGACTGCACATCCCACTTTTACCAATCCTTGCCCCATGCCATTCACCTGCATCACACTTCTATGGATCAGAGGTCCCAGGCATTACTTTTCCCCCTCCACCCTCTTCCTTACTCACCAGAAAATCACAAGTTTCTACAGTCATTTCAGCACCAAACAAAACCCAGGCTCTTTCTAAATTGCTTTCTCTCAAATGAAGCAAATTTATCTCACTTTAAAGAAATTGGAAACACCTGGATCTCTTGCTCTACTCCCTTAAATATTCCAGTATTTCACCTCATTTTGGCTTTTTAATACCTAGGAACAATGAACAGGTATGGCATCAAAACTGAAGGCTCTCTACAAGACATGCCTGTGAAATTCAGAGGGACAACAGAGACGAGCAGTCAGGGGCTGAGGAACCAAGCCCAACTCCGCAAGGTTTAATTAGGTTGTTACAGCCAAACTTGGTTCCCCTCATGAACAAACCCAGGTGGTTTTCGTCTGTCCCACTTGACAGTCACCCTGCACTGTGGGGCACAGGCCATTTTAGGTTCTTTCAGCCCTGAGCCTGGCTGCCATCTGCCACCACACTGACGTGTGCCACACTAGAGTCACCTGCTTCCAGAGCTGCACGTGAATGAGACTGCTGGGGCTACAGAGCTCATAAACCAGGAGTGACGCTTCACAAATGAATAGACTGTGCAGTTCAACTTTTTTATTTTAATAAAATCAAGAATATGCACAGCACATGCAGTGCTAGCATCTAAACTAATACAATAAGCAATTCTAAACCTACAGTGACTTGAAGTTCAATTTTCACATTCAGCAAGTTTAAATCCATTCTTGCATATTGGTTTGAATCCTTGTATCTGAACTGAAAATATTGCTGGCTGATAAAACTTGCTAAAATGCACAAGTCACTGATTATGCCAATACAACAAAGATAACCACATGTTTGAGGATTGCAATGTGCCAGACATTCACTGAAAAAAAAAAACACACAACTAAACAAAACTCACGCAACAAACATCTGAGAATCTGGACACTTCACATCAGTGTTTAGAAGTGTTTCATAAATATCTTAAGACAAGTGTATCAAAACCTTGGCATGTTTAATTTTAAGTTGCCAATTTTTGTTTTACTATCAGAAAGTTATGGCTATACTGCCAATGCCGGGTCTGCTTAATTTGACTTAAGAGTTTAATATGACTTAAACATTAAAAGCTCACACTACCCCGAAATATATAATTTCACGCATACGGTGACATTCAACATTCAAGTGCCAGTGTTTTTGTACTGTCTTTTGGTCAAGTTTCTTTAAACTTTCAAAGAATCACTTTTAGGCTTACAAAAATAAATATTTGTCAAAAATGTTCAATAAATATTACACAAAACTAGCAGCAAAAAGTATCTAGAAATCTGTCGTGTGCAAATAGTTTTCTTCCCAGCTATCATTCCCATGGTCCCAAATAAGTTTTAGAATCTATTTCCTTCTCCTTAAACAAGCTGCGTTCAATCTCCAAGAGACAAAATAAGATTGGAAGTTAAGGACACGCACACAAGACATATATAAAATTCTCTGAATGTGCAATAAAAGAAGTATTTTGTAAAAAGTTATGGGCAAAATGTACAAGGGCCTAAACCTAGACTTGAAATAGCACCATAACAAATGACCTCAATACTGTCAAGTGCACCTACTTAATAAAAGTTTTAGAACAAGGCACAATACACTTGAAAAAATCTATTGCACTTTAGGAGATTTTTGCCATTTTCCTATGCCACTGTAGATTAGTTGTTAAATGCTCTGGCCGCAAAGTTAGCACAGAAATTCCAAGTGGCAGAGGCATTTTTCTGGTGGACAATACTTATCTTTGGCCAGATTTAGCATAACAGACTATAAATACAATGGAAACCTATGCAACTAAAACTGACTAAAACTGCACTTTAATAGCAGAATTGAAACCTTGTGCAGTTTATGTACATTTCCAACCTCTGTGATCTCAGGTTTGTTTGTTACTCTTCTGGAGCCATTTTACAAAGTCTACAGTAAGCCAGTTTAACATCTCCACGCAGCTTGAACAGAGTAATGTGAATCTGCATTAAAATAAAGCCTGCTGCATAATTCTTCCTGTTCATACCCTCTTGACCAAAAAACATCAACACTAGCATGCGTTATTAGACCAAAAATTCAGTCAGGCCCTTACGGAGGACCAATCACTGCCATGGTCAGCCATTCTACCATTTCAATTTCATATGGCAGGCATTTTTAAAAAGTCTAAATAGATGAATTCTCCTAAAAACTATTTCAAGTTATCAGACCTTTAAACGTTCCCTGTAATGTTCTGCCCACATTTGGCTAGCTCACATTAATGATCTGCCTAAATATTGAAAAAGGAATTGCTGTATTTACTTGCATTAACTTCAAAAACAGTGCTTTTAATGTATGCATGTATCCATACATCATCTCATCATGACTGGAATGGCTTATTAAAGGCTATCAGGTTCTAAGTACCTATCCAGGATAGAGTGAGCAAATCAGAACTTTAACTTAGTACAGTTTTGCCACATTAGAAACTAATTGCATTGATATGCTTCAAGATGTTTTATTTTTCAAATCTGCAGATACCAAAGCCCTAATGCAGGCTACCGCATAAGTTTTTCTTTGTAATATTATGGATGAATCAGTGATTCCTGTTTAAGTTGTATCACACCTGTGTGCCAAGGTTTGATTTTAGCCCAAGTTCAGTAATTTTTATTTTGTCAAAACAATTGATATCTTGAGCATTACTGAGCCAACAGGACATCAAAATAAAAGTTGTCTAAAGTTAAAGGCACAGTACATTAACAAACAAATGATCCTCAGTCACAAAATTATAAATGCAGTTTCTGGGTGGGGATGGGTGGGAGGGGAGTTAATCCTGACTACAGCAATAAGAGTCTTCAAAACCACCTTCGAGATAGGGCTACTTGTTCCTTTATTTCCATCTTGTGACCTTGAGCTCCCTTAAAAAAAATTTCAGTGGAGAATCACAGCTGGTAATGTACTGCGAGTTCTTGAAGCTACACAAGGTATAGTCTGGCTAAGTTACATGTGGTTTCCATATTAGCTTGTTTGGTGGGGTATCTGCTGCAAGCAGATCAGTTGCCCCACCAGTCCACCCCCTGGGAGTTATAGTTTCCTCCATATCCATCACTGTTGTAGAAGCCTCCATAACCACCACCTATGAAAGGTAAGAGAAAGTGATGCTTAATTAACTCTAGAAGATTTGCACCTTTACAACAAGAAAACAATCCAGGTATCTGTTGTCCATTAAAGAACCCCACCCAGCAGTACTGTCAAATGCACAACACTAAACTACCACTGGAAAGGCAGACAGCATCAGACCACCAGTCAGGGAACCTGCACAGGCCTAGATCCAAGCAGGATGCTGAGACTGCACGACAAGCTCCAGACGCTCTCTTATTCTAACATTACATCTAGTTTTACCCCAACAAACATTCTGGGTGCAGCTGCCCAGCCCCTCTCACCTCCGAAGCCTCTGCTGCCGCTCCCGCCGCTGCGGCTGCTGGTTGACCGGCTGCTGCTGGAGCTGCTGCTGCCGAAGCCGCTGCTCGTCCGGTAGTCCCTGGCTCCGAAGCCTCCGCTGAACCGACTGCTGCAGAGGGCAAGAGATAAACACTCGAGTCAAACAGGTGGCATTGCACACACTGAGACTGACGTACTCTGACTCTGGGTACCAACCACAGCAGAGCAACAGCCACTGCTGAGGTGAGCACACTTTACAAGCATCCCAAGGCTACGTGGAAAGGCAAGTGACGCACTCATGATGTACACGATGAGTATTTTACAAGCATATTGCTAAATGGAAAAGAAAAAACTCATGCCAAACCCCATGTGGTTGGGTCATATTAACTACATTAAGAGAAGTGTTCTCTCATCCTACCCCTGTAGGCCAGTAAGCAAAGGTTTGTATTACAGTGTTACAGGTCTTCACAGCAAAACTATTTTACAAGTGGACTCAGACCTTCGTTCTGTTCTCTCTCCTTGTTTTGTCAGGAGGCACTGCACTACCTTCTCCTCAACATCAGAACAGCTGCTTAAGGTACATCTCTGGCACAGGGAGGAATGCATTTCTGTGTTTTATAGCTGCTTTTACAGTTCTAAAATGGTTTTTGATAACATATTCAGCTGTATCTAGCTGCTCACTTTAAGAGGAAAGGGGTTCATGTGTTAACTGCCTAATGAATAGATAGAACCACACAGACCCTGTCACCTTTGCACACACCAAGCTCAGCTTATACTGCACTTATCCCCTAAGTGTATTCTCAGACTGAGAACCAATAATAGAACTATCTCTTAACAGACTGAATATACACCTCTAGCCAAAGCTGTGCCTCTTACCTCTTAGATCGCCCACGGCTGCCTCCTCCTTTGTGATGCTGCTCATAGGCCATGTTCTCCAGCCAAGATGGTACTTCTTGCTTAGCCTCCACAAGGAGATCAAGCAAGTCCTTTGTAATGTTTATGTTCCTCTCATTGAAGAATGAAGTGGCAAGACCTGAAGGAGATACTCAGTTTTAGCTACACGCAATGCAAGTACACCAAAGCACTTAAACCCATTCCACATTCCAGTTCCTTACAGCCAAGCCTGAAAACACTAGAATTACTTAAAGAGAAAGCTGTTTGTGACCATTACTCCACCACAGCTAGTCACAAAATCATGTTTACTGACAGACACAGCAAACACCAGGCTTACATGGAGGAAGAGTTTTTTGACTGCACTAAGAACACTACCAAAGGAGAGGGTAAACTTTCCACAGTGGCTATACAGCAGTGAGCAGCTTTTGGTCGCAGAAGGCAGCTCACAGGATTCTCTCAAGTACTTATTTGAAATTTACTACTCAGTCTGTACGACTGCACCTATCAACTTAGGCATGGAGTAGGTATGAAGTAGATATGAAGTGCTGTTTGTAAAAACCCCAGGGATACTTACCAAGGTTTCCTACACGGCCTGTACGGCCAATACGATGTACGTACTCCTCAATGTCACTTGGCAAGTCGAAGTTTATGACATGCTTTACATTTGAGATATCCAGTCCTCTTGCTGCTACCTAGTGGTTAAATGATTCAATCAAATCTCAGTAAGACTCCACAGGCCAAGAAATAGAGCCACATGCTCAAGTTTCACAGATTTCACTTACTGCTGTGGCAACAAGAATGGGGCTCTTGCCAGAGCGGAACTGGTGCAGTGCTTCCTCTCTGTCCCTCTGGGAGCGATCTCCGTGGATACTTGTACAGGCATAGCCTTCATGGTACAGGAAGTCCTCTAGAGCATCCGCCCCCTTTTTAGTTTCCACGAACACCAGAGTCAACGAATCTTTACCTAAAAAAAATAAAAGCCCAGGTTAGCAGAAGAAAAGCCACACAGACAAACATGGGCTCCATAACCTGGTAACACACAGCTTCAATTCTCTGCCCGTTTATTCTAAAGTAACATCACTGGGGACTTCCCTCTCCTTTTTTTATTAACAGACATGCTTACATCAACTTGATACTGGCATTTCACCAGTGCAACACATTCACTGCATGTCAACAAAATACCCTTTCATTCACCTAATAAATAGAAATTCTTATTGTCCGAGTCATTAGATTTGCCTATTCTAAATTTTGTCTCATTTGCTTATCTGCAGCTGTTCTTTACCTGTGGCATTTAGCAGGTCAAGCAGGAACGATCGTTTGTCTGGCTCTTCCACCCATACTACTTTCTGTGTGATGTTCTCAGATGTAGAACCTACTCTGCCAACGGCCAGAAAGATGTATTCATCAAGGAAGTCACGAGCAAGCATCTAAAATGCAGGAGAAAAAAAAAAAAAAATCACAATCAAATCATACTTTTTCCCTCCTTCCAAAGGTGAAATTGCTTTGGCCTTGTGAGCTCTTCAAGTATTTAAACTCTCATTAAGTACCTGGATTTCCTTGGGGAAAGTAGCACTGAACATCATGGTGTGACGAACCCCCTTTGGTGGCATAGTATCTTGTTCAACAATTCGACGAATTTGAGGTTCAAACCCCATATCAAGCATTCTGTCAGCTTCATCAAGGACTAGATACCTGAACAGCAGTAAAAAAAACATCTTCACAACATTTTCCTGTAAGCTGTGCTCTGCTGTCTGCACTGGGTTACAAATTCCCAACTAGATGTTTAGACAGTCCAAAAGCTACAATCTGAGGTCCTTAACTCTATCCTGCTTTAAGCCATTTGTACATGGACAAGCAACACTTTACTTACTTGCAGAAATCCAGTCCAATCTTTCCTCTCTCCATCATATCAACCAGTCGTCCTGGAGTTGCTACAAGCAAGTGACATCCACGTTCCAAGTCACGGATCTGCTGGCCAATGTCTGCACCACCATATACAACACAGGGGCGAACTCTGGAGCGGTATGCAAACTGTAAAGCAAATTAAGTTAGCACCAAGAAAAATTCTACTTCAGTTATGCTATAACAACAAACTGTTAGATATACCTTTCTGGCTTCCTCATAGATCTGCACAGCCAATTCTCTAGTAGGAGCCAAGACCAGTGAGATTGGATATTGCTTACGGCGCCCGTACCTCCCATTCTCCTGAAGAAAAAAACAACCTTGGCATGAGCATCCAAAACACAAAGGGAAAGAAAAAAGCTACTACAGGCAATATTTAAGACAGGTCACCAAGTTTAAGAATGACAAAGCATGTCTGAGAGCCAATTTGAGCACTGCCCCTGAAAACAGCTCTATTACAGTGCCCAAGGTTCAGCTGTGGGTTACTGTGGCAATAGCTGCACAATCCTGGTCTATACAACAAGCACTGCCATCCTAAACTTCAGCAGCAGAGAAGTAACAGCCACAGAACCAGTTACTTCCTATTCTGAAATTACTATGACATAGATGTGAGACCAAGTAGCTTTTTCTAGCAAGGGAAGTGTCTTTTACACTTATGCAACCACAAAACCATTCATTTAAAAAAAAAAAACTGGACAGTTATGCATCCAACTCCTCAGGTAGGTAAAAAAGTAATCCACAGCTTGGAGTTTTTAAGGGAAACACCTGAAGTCTTCTAGAAGTAGAGATGCTTGGCTATCATACCAAAAAGATGACAACATGTAAGACCTATTGTGTCCAGCAGCATACATCAGCTCATGTGGGGAGAGAAAAAACCCCAAACCTATGACATTGGTCATCACTTTCCCAGGACTGGGTATTTGAATACTTGCCTTCATTGCTCTCAAGGCATCACCAGGGCCATCTGCATATATCTGGCTCAGTATTGGTAGAAGAAATGCAGCTGTTTTCCCAGACCCTAGTAGAATACAAGCCAGTATTAAGAGTTACTATCAACTACAGCACTAACCCTGCATCAGTAGCACAGTCCCAGTAACACCTGCATTGGGCTATGGCTACTACTTGTGGCACTGGAGCACCCTCAGCAGCCCAAAATCCTGACGTGAATGTGGTTTAAGACATGAACATGTCTCAGGACAAACAGAGTAAATCTAGTGAAGTCACATCTAAAGCACATGCAAGACTAAAACTAAAATTAGCTTCCAACACACAACTATTTCTACACTGCACAGTAGGTTCTACCTCTTACCTGCACTAATACAGGACCCCATTTCTACTGTGACTAAGCAGCAAGGAGTTATTGACTTACCTGTCTGAGCACAGGCCATTAAGTCTCTCTTTTCTTTAATAATAGGTATTGCATGTTTCTGGACTGGAGTAGGACGGGTGTAGCGTGTGAGTTCAATGTTTCCCATGATAATTTCTCCCATGTCAACATCACTGAACTGTAATATATTTAAAAGGAGTAAGATCAGAATCCTTCTCTTCAACCACCATGTAACACAGCATTCAGTTTAACAAGTCATTTATAAGGTACCTCGTTTCAGCCCTTCATAAAGAAATTGCCTATAAAGTTACAGAGTCACATAGATACTAAGTCCAGTTTTCTAAGCAATTCTTAAAAAGCCAGCCAAACCTGAAGTGCAGACTGCACTAGCACACACACTGTGCTTAGCCTAACACTGCCCAAGCCTTAGCAGCTGCTCCCCAATCAGCACCTCCAAAGCATTTCCACTTCTTCACAGGTTCACTGTTTAAGGACAAATTACAGTTAAAAAGTAAGCTATGAGTGTTAACTGAAAAAGCTTACACAATTTCTTCCCTGTCTTAGTTCATCATATGCAAGCCTCTTCTGCAGAACAGCTTAGCTGTAAGGAAGGGAAGACCATGTTTCCTTTCCTCCCTAAACTCCAGACATCAAGACATCAAAGCTATTCATGCAAAATAGTCACTATTAGATATATTAGCAAAACAGACTTTTTTTAAAAAACTTACACTTTCAATATGTGGAGGACAGTTGCTGCCTGTTGCTTCAACAGGAATATCATCGTATTTCTCAAAGTTAATGCCAGTATTGCTTCCTGAAAAGAGTTCCCTAAAAACAGAAGAGGAAAATATGTTTACTTGCTGGAATTATCAAATGACCCTCCCCACGAATCAGTACTATTCCATGACTTACTGTTCTAGGCGTTCACTTGGGGGGAGAGGCTTGGACCAGTCATCCTCATCTGATTTGTCACACCAGCGGCTGTTCCCGCCACCACGGTCAAATCTGCCGAAGCCACTTCGGTCATAGTCCCCGCCTCTGCCACGCTCCTCGTATCTAAACACAGCACCAGAATCAGACCACCCTTCCCAGGCAACAGGGGGTACTGACATGCAGAATCAAAGCCATAACAATTCAGCAGTGTATGCTCTGTGTATTACACACACAACCGTGGAACAATTCAAAATCATCAGGTTATTACATTTGCTTCTTGGCTTCCAGGAATTAGTCCTGGCCATCAGACCAGGACACATTTTTCTGTGCCAGAAAGGAGAGTTTGTCATGATTTCAGAGCTCAGTTCAGCTTAACACAGTGAACTTTGTATCACCATTTTTATTTGGTTAAGCATAACAAATGTAAACAGCCACCTGCTCGTGGAGCTGCAATCAAAGTTGCTCAGTCTTTGCCATTTCTTTGTAGGGAGCTCTGTTTAAACCTCCTAAGCAGCACTATTTTGTATTCCCCCCACCCTTTCCTCTGCCTCATCCTATACAGGTTTCCCATGTCCAGACAAAACCCTCCAGGGCTGCAATTTCTTCCTTTATTCCCCCACCGCACATGTGACCAAATACCTCCAATATGTCATATAATTATTTCATAAAGAGGGAGCTCACCTGTATTACTGACTTGGAAAGAAGGTGGAAGAAGTCCTTACCTCAACTGTTTAGTTTTTGGCCTGGTAAATCATGTTTGAGAAAAGTCTGGATACAGGACTAGGTCAGCTTTACTAAGTAGTCGGTAAAGGTCACTCTCACCACACTTGTGCATACAACGCATGATGTGTGTAAGACTGCTCAAGTAAGGCAGAGAACCTGCAAGAGTCTCACCCAGTTTTATTAACTACACTTTTTAAACAAGAAAAAAATATTGAAGAAAAAAAATCCATAGTGATGTACTGTGTGTGCTCCCAACAGCTCTTCACGGTTCTCCTGGAAGTAGCCACCCACCTAGCACTTCTTTGGTGAATGTTGAAGTCAGCCAGGCACTACAGCTGCAGTGAGTAGCTGGTGGCAGACTACAGGGCACATTTTTCAACATGCAAGTTGCCCATCCTTGAAATCATGTAACTTTAAAGGCAAGGTTCTCTCCCTCTCTCCTCCCCTCCCAGGCTCCTCCTACCTCATGCCGCTCACACCTGGAACCCTAATTTTAACATCAAGATTACAAGTGCAGTGCTAGAGCTGAGGCAGACTTCACGTGCACCACCCAGACAAACAGGTACTTGCCTCCCTCCTCGGGATCCGGTCCCACGGTCGAAGAAGCTGGATTTGGCGTCGCGGTCGGAGCGCGCACCGAAGCTGCTGTAGGCATCCTTGTCTCGTCTGGAGCTCCAGCCGCCGCTATCGAAACCTAGCAGAGAAAGGCACTTCAGCCAAACATTGCACAGTCCAGGCTTTTACAAAAAAAAAAAAAAAACACTTCTGTCCGGGAAGTCTTCACTGAAAGGTCTATGGGACTGAATTCCTTCACAAAGGGAAGACACGTGAATGTTAAGACTTGCTCAGAGACTGAGCATTTCTCATCGCCCATCAGAACTGAGATTCCTCCCTGCATGTACAAGCACATTGGGTTTGTTTAAAAAACATGCACTTGCTTTAATACAAGTATTTCAGTTGCCTACTCAAGAAAGATGGGCAGCAGAAGAAATTAAGATGCTAAGTCTTGCCAAGCCTCATCTACATCATCTCTCCAACACAAATCCTTGGCAACACATTTAAATGTTGGAGGTTAACAAGGCCTCTCAGATCAATAAATGATATCAGAAATCCAAACAGAGATTGGAATGTTTTATCAATCTACAAGTACACAAAGCAATGTGATCTGCACAGACTGACAGCACCATACTCAGATAAGGTATACATAGCCCTTCACAACAAATTAACCACAGTGTATTTTTCCACAGCACTTTTACCTTTGCCTACAGCAGGTGCCTACTAACATACGTTAACTCAAAAGAATACAAAGTACCTCAGCCCACCAATACCACAGTAGAAGACCTCACTTTTATTCTGCTACCAGAGCCTGTGAAGTAGCAAACATGCGAAGCTTTAAACACTGCTCTGGTACTGGACTAAGAAACTATAAATTCTCTTTCAGATGTTCAACATCCCCAACTTTGTGTAACATATTCAATCTCAGCTATGGGATTCCAGCAGAGAATAAGTTAAATAACTGAACAGATAAACAAATGTCGCTCTTGTGAGCATGCTTTGCCAGTTCCAAAGCACAAAACCAGTCCAGACCTATTCATGAGACAATAACAGCAACCACAGAACAAATTCATTCCAAAGAGAGGGGCTGTTCTAGGCCCACTCTCTCTAAAAAGGTTTTGCTACCAGAATTACCCTACCTTTTTCAATGTTCTCTAAAGAGTGTCATTCACCTTGCCTCTCTGTTTTTTAATTAAGAATTCTAGTACCCAGAATCCAGAAATGTATTGGTCACAAGGGAACTTTAAAAACTGTGATAACTGTAACTCTTTTGTCTGGATAACTGAAACAGACAGCAATAATAATCCATCCATGAAGTTTTAGCACACAAGATCATGGAATGCACTTCAAGACATCCTAAGTGCTTTAAGAAGCAGTATCAGTCCTTCAAGATATTAACTTCAAGGAAGTTATTTTGGCTTGTTTAAAGGACAGCTAAATACAGATTTTATTAAGAGTAACTTTCAGGCCACTACAACTATTTGGATATGTCATCCTGCCAAGGGATCTAATCGCAGTGGTACTTCAGGGATACAGATGTAGTTTCTTAACAGTAAAAGAACTCAACTGACACTGTATTCCCGATCTTCTACTAAGCCTGAGAAGCCCAAAGAGCCAAAATTTTATACTCCAAATAGCACACCTCATTCACCTAGCTCATTACAGCAGGTGAATAACTCATTTCTGAAGCTGGTGCCTTGACATAATTTTAAGGTAGCACACCAAAAACAGGTGTGCACATCCTGTTTCACCAACTCCAGGCCCTTCAGTCTGGCATTCCTACTCTGACTTTATTTGTGGATCAGCACAGAACACAGGACCAGGCCATACAAGTCAATTCTAAGTAAATGACAGCTATAATAGTCAGAATTTCAGACATCAAATGGCAAATTAAAGCTGGAATAAATCCCCTGAAAAAACCCATAACAGACCAGAGATGAACTTCTCTGAAGTGAATGACTACAATGCTGTGCAAAGACTACCCAATCCCCTGAAAAAACCATAACAGACCAGAGATGAACTTCTCTGAAGTGAATGACAACAATGCTGTGCAAAGACCCGGAAATTCCTCAAAATGTCAATGCTTTTGGGTTTTTTTAAGTAAAAACCCATAGAGATTCCATCCAGCACATCTTTCTTATGGCAGGGATAAGAACTCACTAAATTTATCAACTTCCAGAGCGGCTCTGTACTCCTTGCACCTATGAACAGCATTACAAACATCAATGCATCTCCCTCAACCAGCATGTCAATTCACATTTTGTAATACTAACACTAATCACTGCCAGCTCACTTGAAAACCTGCCACATACAGTAGCAATAATCTCTTTTTTAAAGACGGGAGAAATAGAATGATAGATTCCTTTAAGGAGGATAAGACCTTTAAGGTGAGTTCTTAACATTTACTTTTTGATCTACTATAGATCAGATTACAGTTTAAATATCCTACAACTTTCAGCTCTGGTAACACGCTGTTCATCACTTGGTGCTTCAGGCCACACTTCTTCCACATAAAAACCCCCAAACCAAACAAAAGAAAAAACCCAAACAAACAAACAACCCCAGAAAAACAGACAACAAAACAGAAAATCCTCTAGTAGCTTGGACATACACAAAGGCAAGACAAAAATAGACTGATTTTTCTTCACATGGTTTAAGGCTAGAATGGAGCATTTTTCATCTAGTCAGAGTTAAAGAGATAGCTCCAAAAGCTCTGTGAGATACATTATTATTTAAGTATTGCCCTCCGACCCACTCATAATGGAAGCCATCCTCCTGCAGTATTGAAAAGAATCTGTGAAAGTATTGGAAAGAATCTGAAAGTTTACAGCTTTAGAAGCAGATGACATCAAGTCCTCCCATGCCACAAACCCTCAATTCTTTACGTTGTAGCACTGCAGGAAGTGTTTTAGCTGCTGCATATTCTGGTGTATTTCAATAGGTGTTGGAGGAAATGTTTCTCTCATACCCACCCAAGTCACCAGACATGACAACACATGCTGCAGCACCTGCCCCCTTGGGATCTTACACAGAAAGGTCATGATTTACTTCACCAAAGTGTTCCAAGAAACTTTTCTTCTGTATTATGTTCTGTATAGGGATTCAAACAGAAGATGGAAGCATAAACCCCTAGGTAAACATGTGACCAAAACAGGTCATGTACTTCTTGTCTGCTTCATCAACAGCCTGCATTTCCTTCTGCAAGTGCTCCCAGGGGCTTCCATAAAAACTGCAGGAAGCTGAGTAAGGACAACACCTCTTTGTGTAAAGATATGCACTTACAAAGTGAAACTGTGCTGTTTGTTCATAATAAACAACTGACTGCTGTAAGTTTCACAACACAGTCACTAGCAGAAAAACTCCACTCAGACCAACACTCAAGATCAAACAGGAAGTTAAGATGAGAGACTCCATCTGGCTTCATTCACAGCTAATTGTTACACAGATCCACAAGGTATTTCATCAGTCAGATACTGAACTTGAGCTTAGGATAGAAGTTGGTGAAGGGATCGAGAACACACTGAAAGGAGAAGATAAAGTTGCCATGTTTTGCACAGTCAAGCAGTTTGTGTAATTGCCTTCAGCAGCACTGTCAGAACCTCTACAGTCTGCTCCTCCAGATGCAAGAGCCAGTTAAGTGCTGCCAGTGTTTCTGATACATACCCTGTTTTGAAGCTTCCCTGTTCCGCAAGTGAGGAGGAATGTATCGGCCTTCTAAAGGACAAAAGAAAGGCAGTGTTACAGGCCCGTGGTGTCAGCACATCCTGAAATGCTCATCTTGTCAACAACAGCTTCTGCTTAGTAAAAACATCTGCCTTTAAGGCCTCTTGCAGCATTTTAAACAGGAATCCTTTAATACAGCACTTGGTAGCATGCTCCCAGTTGAAGTTTAAAAGCTCCTGCATACCCATTTAGGCAGCTGGTTTAGGGCACAGATGTCTTGTGCTCCCCTAACCCAATCACACTCCCATTTATGGGTGTTACAGTGTCTACTACAAAACCGGCCTTCCTAGAACCTGTTAAGGCTTAAGCTGGTGCCAGACACTTGAGCAGCTAAAGATGTTTACTGTGACATTCAAGTACTGGCACTCACAGTATTACTACCAGTATTTTTCCTTCCCTTTAAATTCACCCATCCCCTCCATTCAGCTCAGATGAAACCAGAAGCCACAACAAACTGCCTCTGAATAGCATTCTTCATTTACAATCCAGAAACAGCTGTCTGCTAAAGCAACATGAATGAGAAAATATCAGCCACAAGCTGAATGTGAATTCCTGGAAGATTCTCCCCTCTTAACACACTTAAGCCTTGAATATCAGTATCACTTTCTATTCAGTGAACTGAGATCAGCAGAGCTGACATTCCTACTCTACCTGGTATTTTAAGAAAACAAATCACCACATTACTACAGTCAGTGGCCTCAGATGAGAGGCAACTGAAAATCTGGGACAGAACTGGAACACCGAGTTCTCTCAAGCTAATTAAGTGCTTCAGAAATGTGCACACACACTGTACCACTACAAAATTAAGTGGTTCTATCTAAAACACAATGTTTTCAAAGCAAGCTTAACTGGCAACCTCCTATTTCCTCATCAGCCTCTGTAAACTTTGGCTTTAGAAACTGCTTTTCACAGCTGCAAGCCCCCAATTTCTAAAAGTGTGTTTGTAAGCTTGAGAATTTGCATGTACTTACTGCTTGTAGAGCTTCCTTCACTCTGAGAGTCTGAGGAATTCAAGTCTAGACCAGAAAACTAGAAGAAATAAATAGCAACATGTTTTACCATGACTTTATGCAAAGATACAAATAAACCTTTTCGTTTATCAGAAACAAGCTACTGCAAAATTTTTTTTTACATTGCACCGAATTAGGTCTCCTATTATTACTCAGGCTGTATCATCTTTAATGTTTTTATACCCACCAATAAACAGAACCCACACGGGCAGCAAGGCCAGCAGAGCATCTCACACCCACCAAATCACTACCACAGACTTCTGCTTCACACTACCTGCACGCTGAAAAGCCATTTTAAATAGACTGAATTTCAGCCTATTTCAGTCAAATGCGTCCGGATTTGGGTCCTTTATAATTTTTTTTTTTGCTACAGAAACTGCAGCGCAAGTAATGCCAATTAATTGGGCACTTCACTTGTAGAGACTCAAGGTATTTTTAGCTGCTTAAACACTACTAAGACATTACAGTCTTCAGGCTTGAGGCAACTACTGCTCCCAAAACATTAGGTGATGTCTGCTGACATCTTCAGCAAACACAATTTTTTGGGCTGTTTTCCCAAAAAAACTCAATAGCCTTTATAGCCTTCAGTCTCACAGTAAAGTTTTCCCAAAGATGTTCAGTTCACGCAGTGCTGGTGTGCCACTCAGAGGTGTTAAGTCAAACACAATATGGACTCATTTCAGCAGAAAGCAGTGGGAAACCGATAAAGCTTAAGAAAGAAATGATTACAGTTGTTTGCCTGCATGGCAGGGATTACAAACATGTATCAGAAAAATAAGGCATGTTTAAACACAAGTTTTGTATTGCAGGGAAGTATTTTCCAACATGAGCTGAATTAATCCAAAAGACTCCAATGCATTGTGCTTTCCAGCGCTCAGCTACATGAGCTGCCGCCAAAGGCATTCAATTCTCTAAGAATCGGCTGACACCGTAACATCCCCACTTAAAAGGTCATCTTTCTAGCTGATCGAAGCATCAACGCAGGGCTTAAAAACAGTTCTTATTTTTAACAGCAATTTAAAGGCTCTCTGCTAGACCAAGGCAGCTCTCCACAATCAACAGGAAGCGACGGATCAATCCTCTCGCAGTGGATCCCCACGGTGGGGACGACACTTCTCCCAGGCGCTGCCTCGGTGGCGCAGCCCCGGCGCCATCTCAGTGCGGCACTGCGGGCTGGATTCCCGGCGCAGCAGGAGCAGCTAATCCGGCTGCCGGCGCCCGTCACGTGTGGCGCGGGGGGGCAGCGGGGGAGAAGGGAGAGGGGAGGGCAGGATCGTCTCCATGACCTACTTCGCGGGAGCGGCCGAGGGCGAGCGCTGCCCGGCCACGGTCCCGCTGCAGCAGATGGGGCTCTTCCTGCCCCTGCTGCCTTCCCCGAGGGTTAGATAATCGTCGATCCCGCCCAGCGCGGGGAGGAGGCGGGGGAATGCAGGAATGAAAAGGAAATAATAAAAAATGGTGCGGACCAACACGACTCCAGGCCCAAATGCGTCACCGGGGCCCGGCAGCACCGGAGTTCGAACAAAGGCGGCCGCCAGCGCCGCCTCCCCGGGGAAGGGGCGTCACACAAAGCGCCGCGTCGTGTGTGTGTCCCCCCTTCCCCCGCCCCGCACAATGGCGCCCATTGACCGCCCCTTCCTCCCCCTCCTCCCCCCCGCTGCAGTTCCCGCTGCGGCCGCCAGGGGCCGCTGCCGCTCCCGGCGCTCCCACACAAAGCGGGTCCGAGCGCGGCGCGGGGGCCACGGGGCCCAAGCGGGACCGGGGCCGGGCCGGGCAGCACCGGCGGCCCCGCACCCCCGCAACGCCGCCCCGGCCGCGGGGACAACGCACCCGTGAAAGGGGGACCCGGCGCGGCGCGGGGCCGCCGCACGGCGTTAACTGCGCAACGACCGAGTGCGCCACAACAGGCCGCGTAGGGGGGGAGGTGGGGGTTACCGCGGGGTGAACTGCGACACGGCCGCCGGGAAGCGAGGAGCGGAGCCCCACGCGAAGGTTCCCGACCACCCCTGCCGCCCTCCCTGCCCCAAGAGCCTCCACCGCGCGCTTCCTCCGGGTAACGGAGCGGCCTTTCCGCTTCTCGTCCCTCACCTGCTGGTCTAGACTGAGGGCATTTTCCACCGCCACATGACTCATAACGAGAGATCGGTCTCGGGCTCGTCCCGCTCCGCCTCGAGAAATGGGGATCCGCTGGGCCGGGAGGTCGCTGCCGTGGGTGTCACTGGTTCCGCCACGAATCGCTGCCCTGACTGAGCCCCCCCCGCCGCGGGCCCGGCCTTTATATAGGCCCCGCCCCCCGCGCGCCCGGCCGCGCGCGCTGACCTCAGCGCGCACGGCGACCGCCCCCCCCGCCCTCCCTTCCCGGCGCTATCGCGAGAACTCCGCGAAGCCCAGGGGCCCGTGAGAGACGCGCTCCCGGAGGTGTCGCGAGACTTCGGGGCGCCGGGCCCGCGCGGAGTCTCCGGCGGTACCGCGAGGTTTCCCCTCCCCCCGCTCCCGCCCGGCTCTGCTCGGGAGGAGAGCGGCGGCGAATTCTCGCGAGATCACAACACTTTTCCCCCCCACCCCACCCCAATACACAGCCTGCGCCGCGCTGTCCTTTTGTTCGCCGCTCTCGCGAGAGCGCACCACGCGCGCGCGGCCGAGACGCCTCTAGAAGGAGGCGGGCCCTGGGTCACGTGGGCGGGCGCCGCCGCCGCCATCTTGTCGCTCCCCCCTCTGCGGGCAGTGGCGCAGCGCGTAATGGCGGCGCCGCGGGGAGGAGGGGCGGCTGCGCCCGGAGCACACCGGCCTCCCTGCCCCGCCTGTCACTAGCGCGGGCCCGGACACGCCAACGTGCGGCTCTGTAGGGCTCACACCGTGCCCTGTGTGCCGCTCTCCAGCACAGTGCTGGTGGGTTCCGTAGTCACTGCGGATCTTCATCAGCTCTTTCTCCAAGCCCCTCAGCCGTCAAACACGCTGACGTGCCAAAGGGCTGCCCTTATTTTCCCTGTAGCGTCAGTTTTACCAGCTATCTCTACACAAATAGCCCCACCTTGGATTCATCAGGACTTTTAGACTGTAAGCATCAGTCAAATAGTTAACATCGAACCGGCATCAGGAAAAAAAAATACACAAATAACCCCATTCCCTTCTCCCACAGCCTGCTGACACAGAGAACAGTAAAGCTGCTTCCTTGAATTTGGGTCAGTAAAACGTGCTTAGGGGATCAGGACACAGGCTCTGAAGTCACAGGGAAGAGGACACGGGGTTTGGCTGGCCTTGAGCCACACACTGCAATTATTCCTCCATTTCCCTCCTGCCTCTTCCAAGAAGAAAACCACAGGGAAGATCCATTCTCCAGAAGGATGATTCACCGTGAGATTTAAAAACAAGACAGAACTTTTCCACAGTACTGGCATATTAAACAGCCCATCTCTGCCTAGGTTTTTCCTGCCCTTAAAATTAGAGCTCTAGAACCAAAGTCTCTCCGATGCAAAAATTAGGCCCCATGAGACAGGGTTTAAACAAGGTTTAAGATTTAAACATCCACCCATAAGTCCTTGAATGAGAAACACATGCTCCTCACAGACAAACCACTCAATTCTGTGATGCTCTGGTCTTAAACAAAACACTTACCAGCCCTCTGCTTTCGCCTTCCATAATGCTTCTCCAGCCAGCTACAGCTCCAGAGTTAAAGATTTATGCTTTATGTATTTCTTCCCCAGGTGCACCTATTTATATAATCTAAAAGCTCACAGGTTTTTTTCATTGAGGCTTCCTGACAGTTAAAAGGAAAAGGTCCCTGTATTTTTTAATAAGCTGTTACTGGATGTAGGCCCAAATTTTGTTTCTTTTGAAAGCAGGTTTTAAGTAATATTTTTAATTCCTTTTCTTCTTACAACTTTGCAGACAATTCTAAATTCTAAACAATTCTGCAGTTCCCTTTACATCCCTGCAACATCTACAGTGTTTTACAAACAAGGGCATTCTTCATGATAATTCATATGCACTAGAAAATGAAAATGAAATGAAAAGTACTTTATCCTTTGCTGTTTTAGAAGTATCACAGCAATTTAAACCCTGATCCTGCAGTCAGGGAAGTCAGTTCTTGGGGAAGTCAGTTTTCCCTCTGAGTTGCCATCTGCACTAGGCAAGACCGTTCTCAGTTTCACTTTTAATTCTCCCACAGCTGACTCAGACACAATTCCCTGGAGGAAGCTGAGCAGCTCATGAGCACTTGAGTCAACACCAGAGTCCTCACAAGCCCTGCTCATGTTAAACTCAGCAAGTTTTTGCCAGTGGGATCAGCCAAAACTCCTCAAAACCTGACACTGCCGGGCTCTGGGACACTGAGTTCTTAAATCCCAGCAAGCTCCCAAATCTGGTATTCCATCACCTGCAGAGCCCCATCTGGCAGGTGTTCTGAAAGGCTCCACTGAATGCCCCAAAACAGCCAGGAATGCAGCTTTCTGAGTCTTGAGGAGGTGGTGTTAGGAAGCCAATATCACCCACTGCCAGCAAGCCACGTGTGCTGTGAAATCAGTGTGTTTATGAAGTTGTATCTGAGATTTAGTGTTTTACCCAGTGCTGACAGACACTGACCTTGTGTACACGAGTTTTCTTATCTGCTTTGAAACTGTCAACAGGTCCTACGCTGCTGACCATCTTAACAAGCAGATTTCTCACTGTACACAGCTATGGACCTGCTTCTAAGGAAAGGAGGTATTTTACTAATGGTAAAGCAGCTCAGACATCCAGAGTGTGATAAAAAAATGATCCTACCATGGATGTAATTCTCAAGTCACAGTAGTGACGACTTGGTTCTTGTTCTACACAGCTGCCTATGAGACTAAGACCCCATACCATATTTTTGTGAGTTTTTCATACTGTAAGACAGCAGGGTAATCAAAATATAAATTTAACGTTGTCCAGCCACAAATTAGTAAAGGGGTTTGGAAACAGTGACTATCTCTCATTAATATCAGAGATCTGTCTTTAGCAGCATAATTTGCACATGTTCCATCTGATCATTTCCCAAATTTCTGTGGACATTTTTTGGCATCAGAAGGCAGAATCTTATTCAGTGTGTGGGACCAATGGTTCCTCTCACTGGCATTGGCAGTGATTACTACTAAACTGTGCCTGGACAGCATTTGACAGAATTCTTACAAAATACTCCCCTGTGCTGCAATGCTTTGTTCTATCACTGCCTTTCCTGAGTACATCTCTATCCTCAATCTTAGCACATAATGCCTTTAACTCACGTGAAGAATTAAAGGGAATCTGATTAAGAGCTGCTCTGTCCTTTGGCCAGTGTGCTGCCACCCAAGCCTTGCTGGCTGCCCTTCCCTTGTCTCTCCATGTTCCCAGACTGGTAGGTGGAATGCACACAGTCCATTGGAGGGGGCTTAGTGAAGAGCAGATTCATGATTAATCTCCGAAGAGATGCCTGGAGTTTGTTTTCAAGCTTCAAAGAAATTCTCATCTTGTCCTGAAAAACCACAAAAGACTGTTTACAGAAAGCAGGGACTCTTAGCTGAAAGAAGAGACAGAATCAGGAAGTTTTATAAGTTATGACTTTAGAGCAGGGGTACACACAAAAGATTTAGTCACTTCAAACATACACTAGTCCTTATCTGAGCCAGCACTCAAGGCTTCTCTCTCTCTCTTTTTTTTTTTTTTTTTTCCTTTCTTTACTGAAGTCCTGTTTCTATTTTCTGTAATGGTTTAGTGACATCAAGTAGATTAAGATCAAGTAGTCACAGGCTTCTGTGAGAACTGAGGAAGTACATGCATAGTTTTGTTCATATTTTTTCTTGTTACATGAGGATCAGACACAGGGGAAAGTGAGGCCATGAATGTGGACTCAGACTTTTAGGGGATGGAAGAGAGAATGTTTTTTGACTACAATGACAAGGGTTGTTGTCCCGAGTGAAAGAATGAATGGAGAGGATGTGGCAATTCTCTGAACACTGAAAATTTCTGAGTTGGGCTCTATTTTTTCATATCTTGCTAGCTTGGATTTTAAAAACCTTAATCATTTTTATTTCTCTGCATTCAGATTTCTGCATCATCCCCACTGGACTCCAAATTATATTGCCTCCCTCTTTCACTCTCCAAGTCTATGCACTGCTTTTGTCTTCCCAAATGCTGTTTTACACGTTCCAATTAGATTAAGGGCTTGCCTGCACAGGAAAGTTACACTACTATTAATTTGCTTTAAAGAAATTACGTTAAACCTAGGCAAAAAGCCACATGGGCTCCTTGGTATTCCTCTGCAGGAATACAAATGGCTTATTTCAGGTTAGATCAGGTCAATTAGGAGCAGGAAGAACTTGCAAAGCAGTAAGTTTTCCTACATCAGAACAAAGAGAGTCCAGCAGCTCCTTCTGCAGATTGCAACTTCCAAACGGGAAGAAAGGCTGGGGGCATGGTCCTGACCTCTGCAGGAGCCACAGTCTGCTGGACACAGCTAGCACAACACCAGGTGACTGCTTCTGTGGAGCAGCTCTTGCCCACTGCAGCTTTTTTCCTACCAGGACAGGCCAATCCACAGCACTCACAGGACAGAAGTAGGGACTGCTGCCTCTGTGCAAGATATTTACTTCCACTCTGTTCATGTAGGTATTAAATACTGAGCCCTATAAAAAAAAAAAAAATCAGCATGATGATGTTCAATACAGCAAAGTCATGAGTATCCATCTACTGCCCCTCTTTGAATGAATGCCTGGAGTTAACTGTTGGTTTACAAATAGATTGTGATTTTATGTGTGCCTTTCTCTGGTAGGCAAGCCCAAAGAAGAGAATGTGAAGACAAAAGAAGAGAGACTCATAGCAGCAAGGAGAAAGGAAAGAGGCACATCAGTAAATCTTGGATTCACATTCTCATTGTGAACTGGTTTGAACTAGTAAGCTCATAATTGCCTAAATCAAAACAGGCACCTAGTCAAGATGGCTCCTACATTAATCAGCATCAGTTGTACTTTGAAGGAGGCATTAATGTTTCTCATTTCAGTTTCTGTAAGCCTTTTCTAATTACCATTTCTAAATACCAAGTGCAACTTCTGTGTTATGTGACATAAATGTAACATTAGAGTCTTCTTTGAAAGCTCTTCAGAGCCTCACTGACCAGGTACCACTTGCCAGAGGTCTCCCCTCTGGTGTGAGGGGTTTGACTTCAGCTGCCAGCTGTGAGCACCTGGCAAGGTCTGACCTTTGCAGGTGGTGGTTGTGCAGTGTGGTGCAGATGCCAGGAGTGTTTGGGTTGA